CAGCTGCCCCCTCCCCATCTTGGTTTTCTGCTTCCCCGCTCTTCTGTGGGACCCGGGACCACGGCAATAATTTCAGCATAGGGAGCAGATCAGAGAACGTCAATTCTCCGATCTGCTCTGTGATCAGTGACACAGGAGCGCTGTATTCACAGCGCTTCCTGTGTCAGCTATCACATTCATAAAGAGAGCCTGTCACATCCAAATGATATCACATGGGGGCTTGCTATCCCCTGTATGATATCAATAAAGTTAAGTAAAGGAAAAGAAAGTGATAAAAAGGTAAGAAAAAATAAACACAAATGAAAATAAAAACCACCATGTGCCCCGTACTGCTGTGCAGTGCAACCCTGCGCTATTGATTTTGAATTTCACTTGCAAATTCCGAGCACTTGTTGGTCAGTGCAGTCAGATGACTTCTCTGACCAATGAGAAGTGCGTCTTAGCATGGTTAACCACTTGCTCACCGCCTATTGTCAAAACACCAGTAGGCGCTTCTTTGTGTTACCGGCTGTTACATACAAGCGTTCGGCCGGCTCTATAGCCGGCTGATCACTTGTATGACATCGTACAGTGCGCCCCCCTCTGCTGCCGGTTATCCCGGGCTCCACTGTCCCCCCTGGGGGCCCGGCACCGGCACAGCGGCTGCTCAACTGTACACAGAGGAGAGGTCAGCATTCTCCTACTTTCTGATCTCTCCTCCGTATGACATCACTTCCACCTTTTTAGCTGTCATTTCCCTGGCTGCTATAGCCAGAGAAGAAGCTGGAGAAGCAGATCTCTGCTTCATCAGCTTCTTTAGGGGTCTCGGAGACCCCTCATTTCTCCATAAGGAGGACCTGTCATTGTATACAAGCCCCCTATGTGATGGCAATAAAGTTAAGTGTAAAACAAAAAGTGTTAAGAAAAAAAATTAGTCACTGACATTTAAAAAAAACACAAAAAAGTCCCCTTCCCTGCGTGCACGCACATATAAACGTAAATACGCGTCGGGTGCACCTATGTGCAAAAACAAAGATTACGCCACACATGTAACATATTGTCGATTTTCGCGCGTGCACGCAATTTTAAAGCTTGACATGTTTAGTGTCGATTTACCCGACGTGACCCCGTTGTTTTATATTTTACCCAAAAATTGTTTTTACATTTTCGGTATTTTTTTATTATATAGTAAAAAATAACCCCCAATGGTGATTTAAATACCACCAAAAGAAAGCTCTATCTGTCCCTAAAAAAAAAATGGTATAAAATTCACTTCAGTACATCGTTGCATGACGGAATAAATGTCAGTCAAAGTACCACAGCACTGAATACTGAAAAATGGCCTGGATGGGAAGGGGGTGTAACACACCAGCCAGCAAGTGGTTAAATACTAAATACGGTTTTGGTTAAAAAAAAAAAAAAAAAAAATATCTGGACAAGCAGATTGCCATGAGGGACAAGGAGATTGTGCCCCCGTTTAGTTCTTTGGACAAGTAATTTTTTAAAAACAGTTTCCACACCCTTGAACATGGCTAGTTATTTTGGCCTCTGGTGACTCCAGCAAGTGTCGGTGCCTCCAATGCCTTTAATAATACTATTATTCTGCATTGCTGTACATATTGATGAGATTTGTAGTCCTCTCTAGCTGATGCTATTATTCTGCATTGCTTGAATGTATTGATGGGATTTGTAGTCTTCCATAGCTGATGGTATTAATACTGGACGTGCATGCATGTCACACGTATGTGTGAACCTGGCCCTAGGCATTTAGGGTAGGAAGACACAGAAGGGCTGCAATTGGCATTAGGTGGCACTAGATCTAGTGTTGGTTGCCCAAAATGTTAGCTCGGGAGAAGTATGAAAGTAATGTAAGGAGCAGTGTTTGCTGCTAAATAGTAATAGTGAACTTTGGGTACTGCCAAACTACCTGCCAGAAAAATAGAATATATTTGGAGATTCTGGGCCTACACTTACCTCACATGAACTCTGAAGACATGAACAGCAATTGTAACCAGAGGAACTCTAGAGGTGTAAAACAATTTAGGAAAGTATGACATCTTGATCATACGTATGCGGCTGAACCATGAGATGGGAACATCTTTAGATGGGGAAAGAGAGGAGGGAAGTTGGTTAGGTAGAGCAATTTGTACATTGGGGTCAAGGTAATACCTAAGTAAGGTAGCATCTGTCCATTAAAAAGAGTAAGAGCTCTGAAGAGTGGCTTCCATCGAAGGTGATAAGGAAACAGACATTGCTTTTGATTTAGACTTGTGTACATGGAGGCCTGAAACTTTCTATGTGACAGAGAATGTGGTGTTAGCGCCCTGGTTTTGCTGTCTGGGCAAGATTACAAAAGTGGCTGAACAGAGTTATAAATCTTTTGTAACACAAGACAAGACAATTAATGTCTGTGTGTTTCAACTGCTTACTTACTGTAGCTGTTTACCTGGATTCCAACTATGATAACCATGTCCTCATATGTGCATATGTAGCAGCACTGTACACTTTATTACATGTCCAAGTAGTTATAGGATTTAAGCAATTCAATTAATTTTCTGTTTGCTCCACAGCCGTTTAATCCAGGTTGTGAAGCTCTACTTGTATTCTCCATCCTCTGGCCTCTTCTCATGCCCTTTAGCTATGACTGATGGTGCAACCAAGGTTATAGAGGTAAGTAATCAGGCTATGATAGGGCATACTATATCTGGGTTTTCAGTTCTTCCCCCAATACTGTTTGAACTGACCACATAACATACCCTAGTGATTTATTTCAAACAATTATAGGCATACCCATGTGGAAGAACAAACAAAATCTGTGTGTGGCTCCATCTCCTTTGCTTGTCATAGCTAATCAAAGCAGGTCTGAATTAGAACATACCATGGGTTCTGCTGACTACAAATGCTATGAAAGCAGGATGCAGCAATGTAATTGCAGTGTCTTCCTTTAACCTGACTATGTAAAATCAGACTTGATGGGCACAGCAAAAATAAAAATCCAATTAAATGGCCATTTGAAGTTTACAATTATAGGCACCTCCAAGCATACCTATTACTTGCATATCTGAAGGTCACTGACACTATCCCTTTTGGGAAACCAATTTTATTTTTCTGAGGTGGAATGGAGGTGTAGTACCCCTTTCATACATAAACCAATCCTATCATAGTTTATGGAGAAGGAAGTGATGTTACTTCCCCCTTCCCAGAGAATCACACATCCTGGAGGATTGTATGGGGTTTGACCTCCGGATCAAACTTCTTGGTTGTGAGGTGATGTGGCTTCTTCTGTTTCCACAAAAATGTAAAACGAATACCTAAGAATTTTCATTCGCTAATCAGTGAAATGTTTCATAAGTGTGATCATTCTAACATATTACAGGTACTCGGTAGCCCAGCTGCTCTTCAGGATGCCTTTAAACATCTTACTTCTCGCGATCCAAGCCAGTTTTGGACATCAGGGCAATGGATGACAGAGCGCAAAGGAGGATCAGATGTGGGTGTGTACCGTATACTCATCTGCTTACTTGGGAACGCTGCTACAAATACACAAATCAACCAGTAGTTTAAAACTTTTCTCTATTCTAGCTTATGGCACTGAGACGTTGGCCTATCCTCAACCTGATGGAACCCACAAACTGCATGGTTACAAGTGGTTTACATCAGCCACAGACTCTGATATGACTTTGACTCTAGGAAGAGTGGTTGATGAACAAGGACATACAATACAAGTAAGTAACAAGTGATGAAGTCAGTCATAAAATATCTACCCAATTTAAAACCGTTTATAAGCATTGTTTTTTAATACACGTGAGTGATAAGCTTAATGTGAGTTATCCTATTAATGTGTGTTAAAAGCCTTGTGTTTTTTTGTTTTTTTTGTGTAATTGTATATTTACATGGTAGGCCATTAAAGTGGAATTAAACTGCTGATAACAAAATGAAGCCCCAGGAGCTGTTTATCATAATGTGCTAGTATGCACAGCATTTTAGAACATTATGGCAAACTTACCTAAAGAAGTGATCCCCTCCAGTCCTGCTCTACTCAGTCACCAGTACTTGTATTTTTTTCAACTCCTCTTCCAGGTTCTGAGTCTTTGGCCATTTGATTGCCCAGGTCCCGGTACATGGTAATTACTTCATCTCAGCAAGAATCCTGTCGGCACTCTTAGATAGTTTGGACTTCAGCTTTAAATGTGCTTATTGCAAATGCATTCTGCTTTGTAGTACTATACAGTGATTATGCCTGGCTCGTACTCTTATCTCACTACCCAGTAGACTTTCTGCAGTCTGATACCCAGAGGGACCAATATTGCACCACCAATCTTCACCTAGGCTTTAGGGACTCATTCTTTTTATTATTTTTAACTCGGGCACGTAAAAGGGTTGTTTTTTTTTTGCAAAATAATTACCGGTGAAACTCGAATAATTAGAATATCGTGCAAAGTTCATTTATTTCACTAATGCAACTTAAAAGGTGAAACTAATATATGAGATAGACTCATTACATGCAAAGCAAGATAATTCAAGCCGTGATTTGTCATAATTGTGAGGATTATGGCTTACAGCTCATGAAAACCCCAAGAACCCCAAATCCACAACCTCAAAAAAGTAGATTATTACATGCAATCAATAAAACAAGGATTGTACATGGAACAATATCGGACCTCTGAAAAGTACAAGCATGCATATGTACTCAGTACTTGGTTTGGGCCCCTTTTGCAGCAATTACTGCAATTACTTTTGCACCATATTCTAATTATTTGAGTTTCACCTGTATGTGGCTTGATAATGCTGACAGGGGCTGTCTTGTTTGGGTGAAGTGTAAATTTTAGAGCCATGTTTGATTTTGAATTGGAAGCATATTTATGTGCTTAGGGTTTTTAAATGTATGTTTTTGTGGGGGTTTTTCCCCGTTTTTTTTTCTTTTTCAGGGCTCTAAAGGACTGTCCCTTTTCTACCTGGAAGTACGAGATGCAAATATGCAATTGAATGGAATTGAAGTTCAGAGGCTTAAAGATAAACTGGGCACCCGGCAGCTTCCAACTGCAGAACTTTTGTTGGATGGTGTAAGGGCTTTGCGGGTAAGAGAAGTTATGGCAATGCAACATAGCACATTAGATATATTATGCAGGACAGGACAATTAACCCCTTCGTGACGGGAGACGTACAGTGTACGTCTTGTCAAGCCATACAGTGTGCAAATTTTGACTGGTTCTTGATGAACCGCACAGTGGGTCGACACCCTTTTGGCCGGCATCCCTCGATTAGCTGATCGAAGGAGCCGGTCGGAAAATCTTCTAACGAATAGAGTGGACTGCCAATGAGCTGCTGGTTCTGTTGAGGTATTCTGGCCGGCGGCCGCTGTTAGAATACAATGAAGTCAGCGGGAGATTCCTTGATCAACGCTTGTAAGCGTTGATGGAGGAATCTGTAATATTTTCTTTGCTCAGCCCGCAGGTTGAAGGAAGAAAATATTAGTGTATGGCCAGGTTTAGACATGAATAACCTTTCTTTTCAAACAGCATAAGACACTGAAGTATACATTATCTCAGTATCCCAAGGAGACTGAGAACTAAGAATCTGAGAAACTTTGTTAATGCTGCACACAGCTTTACCTCAGCTAAAATTTGAGTGGATTCTGCTAATAGGTAGCTCAGCCATGGGCTAATCTGATTCTACAGAGTCCATTATGGGAAAGTGCCATGGTTTTTGGTCCATTTTATATTTGTTAGTTAGAAATGTATTTTTATTTTTTCATATGTTTACAAATAAGTATTCCCTGCTTGGTGCTTCCATGACCGTTAGAATGCAAAGCATACTTGGCTTTCAAGTGCTGCTTGCATGCTTGTTTTAATTGGCTTATCCAGATGAATCTAAGAAGAGAGCAATGGTGGTTGTGACCATCCTCTTGTGAGTCACTCAGCTGTGTGTAGTTTGATCTTTCTGCTCTACTATGAAATGATGTAACACCAACCAGAATACCATCTTTTATAGGGAGATCCCTTTATATTAAGTGTAGAGAATATAACAGCACAATGTTACAGGGATGTAACCCCTCCATGAGGCGTGAATTCATCTGATTAAATGGTTAAATGCCCAAAGCATTCTACTGTTGCATTAAATGAACTGACGGGATTTTCCCTTTTCTTGGCAATGGAAGCAGAAAGATCTTTAAAGGGCTGCAGTTCTGATAACCTGTGTAGCTGTTAATGAATGATTATTGAAGTAACATATTGTGTATATAGTCCTATACCTTCAGATGTTGTTTTTTGTTTTGCAACTTCAGATTTCTCCTGAAGGCCGTGGTGTGGCTACAATTTCGAGCATGCTGACCATCACTCGTATACATAACACAATTGCTGCAGTAGCTGGAATGAGGAGGTATCAATCTGTATTATTTAGTATATCATAATACTGGTGGTATCTGTAGATTAAATTTTAAACACATACTTTAAATTCAGGGTGATCAACTTGGCACGAGAATATGCTTCAAAGCGATTTGTGTTTGGCAATCTGATAAAGGACCACCCACTTCATATTCAGACTATGGCACGAATGGAGGTGAGAGCCATTGAATGTTGCTCATCTAATAAAATGTTGCACATCTAATAAAATGTTGCAGATCATTGCATTACATAGTATCATGGGGAATGAACCTGGGAAGGGCTACAGTATTTCATAATATATCATACACCTATCTAATAATAACATATTCTTATAGTAGAGAGGTGCCAGAATACATTTGTAAACCATTTGCCATTATTTTGTATAACAATTGCTCCTAAAAATTGCTGAGCTGGTACTGGTAGTGGGATAGCGGCGATCAGCTGATCGCCCCAGTATTTTTCCTGCACAGAGGATTGGTACATATCACTGATATGTACCGATCCTCTGCCGCTCGCACACAGGGGCTCAGCTTCTCCTCTGGATTCCCTCTGCTCTCCCGGGCAGAGGCAGCGGGGGATCTGAGGAGAAATGAAAGAAGCACTTCAGCCGCGGTTGGGGGGGTGGAGGACGGAGCCGCTGTCACAGAACTAAGGCCGAGCTGTGAGGGGAGAGAGATGCGGCTGCTGTCAGACCCTGGCCGAGCGCATCTCTCCTCAACGCTCGGCCTTAGTTCTGTGACAGCGGCTCTGTTCTCCGCCACCTCCCCCCTAGCCCCCGCCGGCTGCAGCTTTTCCTTCACTTTTTCTCGGATCCCGAGAAGCCCCACAGGCGGGAGGAGAGGACATCGCGATCTACCAGTGATCGCTACTGGTAAGTTGCGATTGACCTTATGGGCACCCCTGTTCTAGATCCTTTTAGTCCCTCCAGCTCAGCCATCGAGTGCACGCAGACCCCTGCCTCAGATGTGGGGTCGGCTGCGACAGTCAGTTGGGCTGGTTTGTCACAGTGTTACCCCTCAGGCTGACAGTGCCACCATCTCGGTGGGAGGCGATCTGTAGTGGAAGAAGGTACTTCTGGTGTCCCTCACCTGGATTGGTGAGTATGTAAACCCCTTTTCCACTGCTGGGCAACTGGGGTATGTTGTGGATACTTTTCTTCCCCCCTCCTTTGTGCTCTGTTATTGCCAAAGTGGATGTCTTTCTACAGCAGGACTGCATTTTCTCTCATGCTGCAGGAGGCACTGGCTGCAACATGATATGACTCCTCGTCCCTCCTTTCCCCCTGCCCTGCATGTAGACTGTGAGACGAGCTGATGCCATGTGCTATGGCCTCGCTCTATGCTGGCAAGCACAGCCATGTGGAGCGCCCTGTGTTGTTGGTGTGCTTCCAGCAGTGTTCGCCATGTCCTGGCAGTTGCTTGTACTGTGCGGTCTGCTATCATCCCACACTGTGTGGCTGGTGAACCCCCCTCCGCATCTCCCATGGGCAGCAGCTGCTTGTTTTTTGCAGCCACGCTGCTGTTTGCAACTGTCTGTCTGGACATGAGTGGATGGCTCTCTCCTGGGCGCTGCGAACGTGACTGCTGCTGGATAGAGCTACTACTGCTCTGCTCCCCTCCTGTGTGGCACTGCAGTGGACCCTGTTGGTCTTGCGTTTTACCTGGGTCTTTACAACTTGTCCGGGCTTCTGCTCCCCTTTCAGCCTCTCCCTGTATGTCGATGGTACCCCCAGGGGCCCCAGCAACCATGGATGCTCTTTTGTTTGTTTTGAGGGCTTGCTCGCATGTAGAGCATGCTATCTCTGGAAGCAGTTTCTGTCGTGCCTCCTTTGCCTGTGGCCTTCTGGGTCCTCAAAGGGGAGGGCTACGTCTTTGCGGGTCACTGGGTGTCCACAAGCCTGGGTTATGTGTTTTTTATATCATCTCTGGCAGCATGTCTGTATGCATTACTGCTGTTGCTTCTGCGGATTTTTTTTTTTTTTTTTTTGTGC